TTTGATGACTTATTGTCACGATCATTTTTTCAAAGATCAAGAAATGACAAGTTCACAATGCATGATCTCATCAATGACTTGGCCATGTCTGTGTCAAAGGAATCCTGTTTGAGATGGGAAGGGGGCGAATCACATGAAGTTTTGAAAAGAGTTCGGCATTTGTCGTTTGCTAGAGGGCAATTTGATTGTGTTGTGAAATTTGAGCCATTATATGAGGTTAAGCATTTGCGAACCTTCCTACCTCTTAGAAGAGAATGTTATGAAAATTATGTAAGTAAAAGGGTTTTACATGAGTTATTGCCAAAATTAACATGTTTACGAGTGCTAACGTTGTCAGAATATGGTAATATTGTTGAGTTACCTAATTCTATTGGTAAACTCATTCATTTGCGCTACTTGGATCTCTCTAATACTGGAATCAAAAGGTTGTCTGGCACAGTTTGCACTCTCTATAGTCTACAAACATTACTATTAGTAGGTTGCCGGTCTCTTTTTGAATTGCCTACAGACATGAGAAAATTGATTAACTTGAGGCATCTTGATTGTAGCGGAACTCAAATTGAAGAGATGCCGGTGCAAATGGGTAGACTAAAAAGTTTGAGAACATTGACTACTTTTGTTGTGGGGATATCCATTGGGTCGACTATTGGAGAATTGAGGGAGTTGTCTCATCTTGGAGGAAAGCTTTCAATTTTGAAGCTTAATAATGTGGTTGATGGTAGGGATGCCTTGCAAGCTAATTTGAAGAACAAACAAGATCTCAAGGAGTTAGAGTTGGCATGGGTCTCCGAAGATGCCGATCATTCCGTAAAGGTGAGAGATGTACTTGACAAGCTCCAACCTTGCATGAATTTGGAGAAATTGACCTTCAAACTTTATGGCGGGACCAGATTCCCAAACTGGTTGGGAGACTCTGCATTCCATAAAATGAAAGTAATGCGCCTCGAAAATTGTCATTATTGTTTTTCGTTGCCGCCGCTTGGACAGCTATCCGCTCTTAAGGAGCTCTTCATATGTGAGATGAAATTTCTTAGAACGTTAGGTCCTGAGTTGTATGGTCAGCCATTTCAGCCATTTCAATCGCTGGAGAGGCTGGAGTTTGAGGAGATGGCAGAGTGGGAGGAGTGGGTACCAAGTGGAAGTGGAGGTCTAGACTTTCCTCGTCTCCAGGAGCTGATTCTAAAAAAGTGTCCAAAGCTAAGAGGAAGCTTGCCTTGTGATCTGCCTTGCTTGAAGAAACTTTGCATGGAAGGGTGTGGAGTTTTGCATGATCAAAGGGCCACTGCTACTACTAGTACTAGTACTAGTACTAGTCTCAACTACAATTCTCTTGAAGAATTGGAAATAGAAGATGGATGCCAAACAGGTCTGTTATCATTACTAGAGACAAAGCTCCTTTACATTCAAAATTTTGGTGACATACAGTGCTTGCCCAACATCAGTCGTCTTCAATGTTTAACTCTCTCAAATTGTCCAACGCTGTCGTCGTTCCCTAAAGATGGCCTACCCACTACGTTGACATCACTTAGGATATTGAATTGTAAGAGATTAGAATTCCTGCCTCATGAGATGTTGGCCAACCAATTAACATTGCTCGACTGTTTGTGGATAGAGAATAGCTGTGATTCAATGAGGTCCTTCCCCTTAGGCATTTTTCCCAAATTGAAGACACTTATTATTGGGAATTGTGAGAATCTGGAATCGCTTAGCTTGATTGAAGATGAAGGAGCGGCGGTTGAGAATCTCAGTCATCTCAATGCCTTGTATATCGAAGTCTGTCCAAATCTGGTGAGTTTTCCCCAAGGAGGATTGCCCACTCCTAACCTGATTCGATTGGAAGTTCAGAGATGCAAGAAGTTGAAGTCATTACCTAAACGCATTCAAACCCTCACAGCCCTAAGATATTTGGATATAAGGAATCTTCCAAATCTGGAGTCCATTGCAGAAGATGGTGGTTTGCCTCCTAACCTCCGAGTTTTTTACATTCATAATTGTGAGAGACTGAGGGCTTCATCTTCATCAGTGGAAGACTATTGTAACTGGGGTTTGCAAGCAGTTGAAGAATTTAGAATTGGTGGCAGGGGAAGTGATGAAATCTTGGAGACGTTGCTCAAGCAACAGCTGCTCCCTACCACTCTTCACACTCTCAGGATCTCTTCATTATCAACTCTGAAATCTTTGGATGGAAAGGGACTTGCACATCTCACTTTTCTTCGAAGTCTATCTATTTTCAGTTGCAAAAGTCTGAAATTCTTGCCAGGAGAGGCACTTCAACACCTCACCTCTCTTCAAAAGCTAAAGATTAGTTGGTGTGACAATCTCCA